GCGTACCAGTCACGGCGTCATCCCCGGATCCCTCACTAAGATCATCACACGCATACATTTCTCTATAAAATTCACTCCATCGCTGCATGACGTCCGATTTTTCTGAGAGGACGTCATTAGTTCTCGAAAGCACTTTGTTCATTCTTAAGGCCGTCGCACCACTTCGGGTCCTTCCAACCTCTTTCCAGAAGATTTTGGAGTTCTCCTTAAAGTTGTGCGACAACCTTTCGTCCGCTTCCATTCTACACCTTTCACGCACTTCCTCAATCAGTGCTTTCGTGTGAACTTTCTGCAGCCTATATCTTTCTTTCATCTTCTCTCTCATATCCTTATCATTACTAGAGGCCAAGTAGTCTAACCAAGCTTTCTTCTTCTTCTTTACAGCTTCTTTCACTTCATCATTCCACCATGCATCTCTTCTTTTACTACTGCCTCTTTTTATTGTTCCACACACTTCTTCCGCTGCACTTACCATTCCATCCCTAAGGTTCTGCCAAGTTCTTTCTACACATTCTTTTCTTCCATCGATGGTGTCAAGCTTTTCGGCTACCCTCACATGATATTTGTCCCTAGTATCCGCTTCCTGAAGCTTCCAGCTTCGGATGCGACAGACCGACTGTGGTTCTCTCATGAGTACGATGTGACTACGACGGGGTCACATCGTACTCATGAGCAAGTAAATTATGAATATTGATGTTATGAATGTATTCGAGTGGTTCCCAAGCATATAGATTAAGTAATTTCGTTGTAATTTCACCTATAGTGATTTTTTAGAGGTGTTTTCGCAAATTATTATGATCGAGTCAAAATTTTACAATCGTGTTTTTGAGCAAGCAAACTCAAGATAAAGACATGAATTTACCTATATCAAAATTCCAGTTTCGTTAGTCGTGTCATACTCCTATACTATTCAATGAAAGGAGGTGAATTTTTTCGCGGTGTCGCTTTAAGCTACTTTTATTTTAGGGTTCCGCCCAAAATAATTGCACGCGGGTGACGTCGCGGACAACAGCTAGTGTTTCAATACATCATGACAATTTAACATATTCGTATTTAAATTCACTGTAATTTTATCGCATCACGTAGTACGTAACAACATCTATGAAATTGAATTTCAGGATGAGAGCGGCTTATTCCCATTGGGAACGAAAATTGTTTTAATACCTTTTTGTATTCACAGGGCTTATTTTGGTCCTAGCAATAATGATATTCATACGCAATGATAACATTTATATAAAAAATGTTTTTTTTCATACTCATCAAATAATTTATGAAGATATTAGATTTATACGTGGTAGGGCCACGATGCAGCTATATTATGGTTGTAGCACTAATGTGTTGACGCAACCGGGGAAGGACCACGCTCTCACAGAATACCATTCGGATGGTGAGTGTAGAGAACCATAGACCTATTTTACTAGATACAATTAAAAATTTTATCGTTTTAGGCTGTTGAAGGCATAAAACACATACAAACTCTATGGCTTCCAGGTTATAATGCTAGATATATGCTTGTCATAGATAAGTTTGGAGTTGTACTACTTCTAGGTAGAGCCAAGCAGCAACTAGAGCCATAATTTAACTGCATAAGTAGTATAGCACAATGGGTCGGCTCTACCGGGGACGGACTACATTCTCACAGAATGCAACATAAAATAGCAATTTAACGCTGCTGTGTTTCGTATGGTGAGTGAGAGAACTGGAGACCCTTTTTACTGAAAACGAGGCATTCCATCTTATTCCCCATCGGTGATAACGCGTCCGCATTTTGATTCGTAATCGAGGATAGATGTAGATGTCTATGGGCCACAGCAACCACTTACCTTTAGGAGGACTGTGCGCTCGTTTGTCACCCTTATCCTATAAAAGAAACTTCAAGATCACATTCCTCATATACACTGGCAATAAACGTACCATTTAAGTGATGGCTACCATTAATTGTATCACATTTCACACAAAAAACATGTAGATACATTGAAATTTAGTTTGTTCATATTGAATATGCTTCAAAAGTTTCCAAGTTTGATTGCAATCAAACGTACAGGCGCTGAGTTTTAGTATTTTTATTATCATCAGCAATACAAGAGTACTTTGGAGTATAGAAAATACTTCTATAGATAACATTGACCGTACTAACTAACATCTGATGTCTTTAAAAATAATTCTTTTAAAGGACAGCCTTATTAGGTATTTTTGTAACGTCTTCAGGCAAGGAGTTTCATATAGTACTCGTACATTCATTTCATGTTCGTGCTAGGACTGTTGCGAAAGGATGTAAATTATGGATGGATTATAACAAATAAGTTGACGCCGTTTTACGATTTTATTGAACTTTCAAATTCATGTCGACGGGCACGTATACCTATGAATCATAATTTTTTGGCATGGCGTTTTAAGTATGCCATGAAAATATTAATTTTGGCATTATTTGATAAACAACCAAACCGATCCGAAGGAACTACTACGTACAGATGTTCGATTTTCATTCTTCTCACCTAAGCGTCACAACGACCCCGCTGTTTAAAAGTCCCGGACGATTTTTAGCATTAACGAATCTTGGTGTGCTAGTTTAAGTTTACTCAGCAATAAGTTCTTTGTTCAGTGATGTGAAGTTACTCAGTTTGGTTGTTTTATAATTTTTTCCTTCAAAACTCGAGTTCAAAACGCACACTTCATTCTCGGGCGATGTATACTCTTTTACAACTAAATCTCAGAAAATATACAAATTTTGACCTGCTCAAAGTTCAAAAACTTTATTGAAACAAAGTTTGTATAAAAAGGATTATTATAATATTAAGGAATTTATAGATGATAATAATCCCTGGGAAGGAGGTGATTGTTATCAAGCTATTTCTAATTTGTTGTGTGTGGTTAATTGTGTAACATACATGATTGTACCTAAGTTGTTATTTTAAAAAAAAGTCCCGATGTGTTTCTTGCTGGTTCTTCCCAGGACATAGTGGTTTTTTCGAACCAGTGGTAATTAAACAAAAGAGTGACTTTCAATAAGTATTATTTATAATCCATATTGAATAAAAAAGTTTCTGTTTCTGTTACACATGGATAGGAGTAGGACAGTATGTACGATTAGGCCGAGCGTTCCTAGCGCTCGCTTTGTTATATGATGCCGACACGAATATTATACGCAAAGCATGTCTTATACATAAACATGCCAGAGCTCTCTATGTATCTACGCTATCCGTTATGTGTCTTGACACATAACGGATATCGTAGATACATAGAGATATACGCTCTGTTGTATAGAGGAACCTAAAATGTTTATAAACGAATATGAGATTAGAGGTTAAACCTATCGTGTATTTATTTAAAAAAAAACACAAACTTACTTACTTACTTACTTACTTACTTACATACCTCTTTCGCTTCTTTCAGATTCATTATCTTCTTCATACATGCACGTCTAGGTATCCGAGTACTCTTGACCCTACCCTCTTCGAGCAATTTGCTCACATGGTCTTCGAAAGTTAGTCTCGGTCTACCTCGACACCTTTTAATATTAACTTTCGCGCTATATATTTTCTTCACCATTCGGTCTTCACTCATTCGCTCAACGTGCCGAAGCACGCCCTTATCAATTTTTGTGATAAGGTCATCTTTCAAACCTGCCATATTGCGATTACAAAGATTGATTAATAAAGAAAAGATTGGTCGAGAAATCACTGTTAATTTTTTTTGGTTTCTTAGGTGAAACACTGCTTGATCATGTTCAAAATTATGTTCAAAATTATGCGTTGGGCATTAACAAGTTTCTTGTTCCAACTTTTTTTTATCTTTTATGACTCTATCGGGAACTTTTCCATGCGACTTGGAATAAGTCAGCAGTAACTCGAACTCGATCATGATGAATTTAAACCTTGTCTCTATATCTTACTGTTTCTATTTATTATACTTTATACACCAATAAAGCTATTAGAGCCGTGGTAGTTCAAGGGCTTAATGCACTGCGTAAATTTCACAGCACGTGAGCAACCCGGATTCGATTCTTACCAGCATCGACAAAATTGTCTTTTGCATTTTAAGTGATATTTTACTGGAGCGTTCTTAAAAATCCATTAAGTAGTTTTTGCGTGAAAGAGTAACAAAATTCATCACAAAATTTCACATTTATAATATTAGTAGGATGTCACGACTAAAATTATGAGATGTAATTTAAATTAAGTTAACTTTACTGTACTCGTATAGTTAGTTCGTTTAATCTAAAATTCAAAGTAAATTCTTTTCTTTTGGCTGGTTCTTTTCTCGCTCAAATGCTAAGTATAGCCATTCAGCGGGGAAACGCAGCCAGCGTTCTTGGTACGATACCGCGGGGAGTAGGACTATATGATAATTAAGTTTCTAGTTTTAGTTTTTTTTATTATTATAGTTTTTAATATTGTATATTATTTATATTACTTAATATGATTATTAATAATGATTATTATCTCATAATTTATGCAATAATGTCATATTTAATCAGATTTAACAAATTTAAAAAAAATCTAGTATTTCGAAGTAATTTTGGGAATAAACCTAATTAAATTTATATTAAAAGCAGCAAAATTCCCATTTTTTCACAGACTAGATTCTTTCTATACAAGCACGATAAATATGTATTAATTTATCTTTTATTTATAACATATATAATATCTTTAATTAATTTTCTTAAAAAGTAAAATCTTTACATTACTAACGATTGACTGACAAACGACTTGCAAAGTTAAATGAGTTCACAAATCTTCTGCTTTCAAAGTTTTGTAATTACTGACGATGTTATGAAAGGCTATAATAATTTTCATACCGTATCTGACGTAGACAGGTAATCAAGTGCTGAAATTACTACTAATTGAGTTACTTAAGATGCTTATTAAAATAGAAATAAATTTTAATTTATTTATTTAAATTACGTTTATAATTATTTTAACTACAAGCATATAACCGAGCAGTTTCCTGCAAAGTCAAGTCATTCTAACGAAATAATAATAATAATTAATTACAATTATCTAGTATATAAAATTGTAGCTTGGCATACAATTGTATGGCGGGGCGAAAGGACTAAAGCCACCTCCGATGACTTCGATTGGTGCGTAATTAGGAGCGATATCTACAGGTGTAAATGCGGGTGCTAGAATCTCACAGCAGGGATTAGGCAGTGTGCTGCTCAATAAATTGCTCACTACGAGCAACTGCAGAGCATTAGCCAATCTGTTCGCTACGCTGCTATCCTGGATAATAGTTGGTGCGGTTTCCAACGGTCTATCCAGTATCAATGGTGCCATAGTTGGAGAATTTATCATTACTTCAGGAACTATGTTTTGTCCACAGTTCGGCAGCACTCTGTTGATACATTGACTGTATGCATTCTGTAAATAAAATTGTAAAAAAGAACTTTTGAAATTAATAGCGTTAAAGTGAAAATATTTTTATTAAAAATACGCCTTTAAAAATCACTTTTTGAAAATCAATAAAACATCAACAAATCTCCACTACAGGAGGCCTTGTGAAAAGAAGGGACTAGAAACTCACAAGTTATGTAACAATAAACAGGTTGAAGTACATGCCAAAAGAAAGATATAGTCTACATATTATTTTTCAACCGATTTCAAAAAGGAGGAGGTTCTCAATTTGCAGAATCTTTTATTTTATGTATTTTCACCGATTACTCGAAGCCACCAGAACCGATTTGAAAAATTCTTTGTTTGTTTCAAAGAGTATAGTTCCAGTCCCTTATAAATTTGATCAAGTTCTGACCAGGAGTTCCTGAATTATCCTTAATAATTTATATTGAAGCCAGTTGTACAAAATTTTTAATTTTACCACATGTACATATATATTTGTAAATGATATCGTAATAGATTTAAGTTTTAAGGCTTGAACGAAACCTGATTTAAATTTTGACTAGTAGATAATTTAATCAAATGCCTAATTTCTTTAATCAAGAAACATTTCGTTGTCCGTAACTATACATCCGTTTCATTACATACGTGGTACATCTGAGAATAGTTTTCATTACAAGCTCTCCATTGGGCAAATTAAGATCAAAACAACTTTAAGCAGAATGTAAGTTTTAACCAGTATTTGGTTTTAAAAAAATTGTTTTCGTTTTTTAAATATAGAAACCAGGAATTTGTGATAATAACCATTAAATTGAACTTTTAAATTGTCACAATAATAAGCGTGAGACAGAAGCCATTGCGAGCAGAAGAGATATAATATATCAAAGTTTGCAACATCCCTACGGTACTGTAAGCAAACTTTCATTCGCAAGAGAAATTGTATGTGCTTAATATAAGAATATTTATCAGAATTAAAATTACAATTTATATGTTTTGGACGAGTAAATGGACGAGTTTGTGTATTTGAAATGTGTATTTAACAGGGATAGTAGATATGATAGGATATAGAACGACGAGTGAACACAGAAAATAGATAAAACCTATACTCTTTTGTATGAAGTCAATATGTGTCAAAAAGGCACTCATGGCAATTCACAATGCTTTGTTAGTTCCACCTTAATGTAAAGTAGTGGAAGTTGGGCGTGGCAGAAGAATCTGAATGACAGGGTGAGAAATTGTGTCATAAGAGAAAAGTGTGACCAGAGATGATGTTGTGACCAGGATTAAGAAAGGAATGCTTCGGTGGTTTGGTCATGTAGAAATAATGAACGAGGAAAGCAAATCTATGTTGCAGAAATGAAAGGACGCCCTAGATGAAAGTTTATCGCCCAAATTGGCGATATATTGAGGATGGGCTAAATTAAGAGTACCTTTAACCGACGAGCATGTATGCGTGGGTATATGGATATAAAGAAGGCGACACAGGTGTGTCAAAATCGTGCCAAATGAAAGACCGTTGTCTCCACCTATCCCTCTGAGTGACAGGCGTAAGAGTTTATGGTTATGATATCCATTTAAAACAAGAGACAAGACTAGGTGCCAAGAATCCCCCCCCGAATGGGTTCCTGCATTGTCGTGGCGGGGGCTTAGTAGCCGTGGCTTGGTCACCCTCGGTGAACAAAGAGGAACCCCTTGGCTGGCCCGTGGTGTAGGGCCAGCCCGAGGTGGCCACTCCGAGTGGGCTTGGCGAGCCCACTTCGGATATGTGTCGGTGGCCTGCGGTGAGAGGGGTGTCCGCTCCCTCTACCAAGGTGGAGTCGCGGAGGAAGAGGAGTGTTGGTATGGCGATGCGCCACTCGCCCTATCCTCCGCGACTCCGACGGGGTCACACCGTCAATTGATGCGGTGGTGGTGGGGCTGTGGGGGGAGAGGAGTGCCGGTATTGCGAGGCGCCGCTCTCCCTACCCCCCGCAGCCGGATCTTGGTTAGCGGCGTACCCATAGACCAGATCCGCCGCTGGGGTCAGGAAGGCTGGTGCTTCTGAGTGCTAGTTTTTCCTGGCCCTATGGCCTTCGCGCATCAGACGCGGGGTTGTCCGTTGCGCATGTGAAATTGGAGGCCGAGGAGGAGGGCGCGCCATGTGTTCTGGTGCGCCTTACCTGAGAAGGAGATGGGGGAGGAGTAGTTCTCTTCTGAGGAGAGGCTGCCATGGGGCGGCCAGCGCTGGTGGGGCCGCGGATGTGTGCGAAAGCGTTCCCGTGGCCCTGCCAATATGCGACGAAGGTGGAACACCATGGGGTTTTAGTCGGTGCGAGTCCGACAAAACCCGTCTTTGCCCACGCGAGGCGGGTATGCGTAGGCATTTCCCCATATAAAAAAAGGTGGCAAGACTCGTTTTCTTCCTGGGAGTCTTTCTGGGTATCATCCTATAACCTATTTACTGCTGCAAAATAGGAGTGCGTGTACTTCTATGATCCGATCTGAAGGGTAAAGGAAGCTAATATAATTACAAGACATGAGGTATTCCATCTTAGTTCTAAGGAGTAAGGTATCTTTTGGCTTCTTTATTTTATGTTGGCTACATGTGTCCATAGTTTGCAGTAGCAGGTGGACTAAAAGTTCGTTTCTCATTTCTTTTTTCCACTTCATAATAAATATAAATGTAATAAAACTTCTTGAGAAAACCTGCAAAGTCTGAGAAATTATAAAATTAAACATTTTTGTGCAGCACAGAACGTACTCATAAGACTGTTAGTTTATTTTAAGATTATTCTTAAGTTAACAAGACAATTTTAAATAGATATTAGAATTTCAAGATAATGAAAATTATTATAACGGATATTAAAAGACGGAAAACTAAAATTGAATTACTAATATTTGCTTATGAACAATAAAATACACTCAGTTTCGCTTTATGAAAAATCTAAAATTATAATTTTGCATACAAATTTGCTTTTAATATATTTCTTGTCTTAACAGTCTCAAACTATCATTTTTAAATTTAATTGTTATTGATATATTATAAATAGCTTTGGCTTATGCAGGGTTTTCGTTACTCTGTCAGCAAATTTAAATTAATTTACCTGTATTAAAATAAGTTGTAAGGCGATAATCGCTGCTACACGGTAAACCATTATGCTATAAAATTTAAATTATTAACTTTTCAAAGTATTAAAATAACTGATCGTAAAGTAACTCTCCTAGTGCTATAAATATACCTGTGTTATCTTGTGTACGTGTTTAACAAATTTCTCAAATGTCGTTACTCAACCTATGAACTCCTTTGATTTCAAATTACTTATCTAAATTTCATCACCATCTTTGCAGAACTAGTCCGCTGCAGAACAGATTCCTTTTCTTAAAGATAATTATCATAGAGCATCCTAAATCCACCGAATACGCTTGATATTTCACAATGTTGTCACTGCATCTTAACAAACGAAATTCTAAATTTTCCTAATAAATTTCAGATCATGTTCAGTTATGTAATCTAATGAACGTAGCACTTGATTATTTTCATCTGTTCAATTAATTATTCCTTCCTTAAGTGTAAAACGTTTAGTATAATAACCGGCTGTAAGGCTTTCTTCGCTTGAAGTTTGTTGGTGTCCATGAGCTGCATCTGCCACTTTCATTAAGTGAATGCTAAGTGCGTTTATGACTCTCGAAATCTTGTTATTATATGATTCTAGACTTAAATATTTTTTGGAACGAAGTTCCTTATCGGGACGGTACGAATTTGGCGGATGGGGGCTAGGCGAGAAAAAGTAAGATTTTTCCGTCACGACCCCTTCTTAATGGCCTTGGCGACTATAAGGAAGCGAGATGGAATAATATCCATCTCCCTCGCACTTTTTATTATCATGCCATGAAAGAAATATTATTTTATTTTAAATGACGCTTCATTTTAATAGACGCTAGTAATTTATTTATTTGTATTTGTCAATCAATATTATTATATGTTTATTAATAATAATATACTACGAAAAGAACTTCCTTCCAAACGAGTGTTCCACAACACTCACGCATGTTTTTTTTAGATTTCATTTCATTTCAACCTAGCACAAGTCCAAAGCTGAACATAGTCCTCCCCCAAAAATTTCCTCATAGGAGGAACACTCTACACATATTTGCCGCACTTGGGAACCGCAGTTTTTTATTATTATTGGGTTGTAATCAGGAAAATGCTGCAACCTATCGCCTGTTTCCCCCTGTCGCATTTTGCAACACAGTATGATGTTATGACGTATGATGATACTCTATTCCTCTCAACTCTATTTTTAAATGACAGGAGCCTAATGGTTAACTGTACGGACAGTAAACTTAAATTGTCATGAGTTCGAATCTACCTTTCGACTTCCGTCATAAATCGCCCGGAGTGGTCAACGGGGATATTGTTAAGGTTAACAGCGTTTGTCTAGTAATTTTTAAAAACTTAATTGCCAATTGTTTCCATAGTAAACAGCTACACTAAGTAATTGAAGTGACAAACACTCTGGAGAACCTATTGTTAATAGAAGCAGATGCGCGTTGGGATGCAACAGTATCATTAATCTAATTTTTAAGACATCATCAACGCGCGTGCGCGTTCGTAGATCTAGAAAAGGCCTATGATAGAGTGGTGAGGAATGAATTGTGGTCAGCACTGTCCGTGAACGGTGTGAGCAGTATCCTCATACGAGCAATGCAATCTCTTTATAGCGATTCTAGTGCTTGTGTAAGGATAAACGGGGCATACACTGAATGGTTTAATATCGAAAAAGGTGTTAGACAGGGATGTGTAGCGTCACCGTGGCTGTTTTATCTGTTCATGGACAATTGTTTGACAGATTTAAAAGAGAATGAAAGTGGGTTGAGAATGAATGAGTTACTCGTCAAATGTTTTCTCTATGCTGATGACCAAGTATTACTTGCGTCTTCGGCCGAGGAGTTGCAGGAGATGGTAACTGCTATGAGTGGAGCTTTTGTTAGAAAGGGAATGAAGATGAATGTAAGGAAGACGAAAGTGATGGTGTTTGAAAAAGATGAGGCAGTGACAGACTGCAACATTGTGATTGAAGATGAACAAATTGAACAGGTGAAAGAGTTTGTGTATCTGGGTTCAAAGTTTACAAGAGATGGAAAGTGTGAGAGTGATATCGAAAGAAGAGTGAATGCAGGAAACATGGTGAATGGAGCTTTGCACTCCTTTATGAGCAGTCGGAAGGTGTCTAACAAGGCTCGTTTGGCTGTGCATGAGGGGGTGTTGGTTCCGACATCATGTACGGAAGTGAAACTTGGGTATGGCAGAAGAAACATGAAAGCAGAATAAATGCAGTTGAGATGAGAGCATTAAGAAGTATGATAGGAGTTAAAATGAGTGACAGGCTAAGAAATAGTGAGATAAGGAAACGTTGTGGTCTGAAAGAAGATGTAGTGACAAAAATTGAGAAAGGTATGCTGAGATGGTTTGGCCATGTCGAGAGAATGAATGAAGAACGATTGACGGAAAAAGTGTATAAGGCGAGTGTGAATGAAAGTGTTGGAAGGGGTAGACCTAAGCGGACATTTCAAGACCAAATCAGGGACGTCTTGAAAAAAGGCCAGGTCAAGAGTACCCTAAACCGTAGAGCATGTATGAAGGGAATAATGAAAGTGGACGAAGCAAAACAAGTATGTAAGGATCGTAGCAAGTGGAAAGAACTGGTCTCTGCCTACCCCTACGGGAAAGAGGCGTGATTATATGTATGTATGTATGTATCATCATTATCATTACAGTTAACTCCATAAGCCCACTGCTGAACATAGGCCTATCTCAAGGAATACCACAAAAGACCGACTTAAGCCACCTGCATCCATCGACATCCTGCCTTACCAGATCGTGACTCCATCTAATAGGAATACATATGTATGTCCTCCTTACACTTCGCTTATTGTTAAGAGTCTATCACTCGAGGATCTTTCCGGATGTCGGTTCTACGAGATATATGAAAGGGCCGTTTCCATTTTCCTCCTCCAAGCCGGCTGGTCACCGTGGAGGAGTCAGACCACCACCTCCTAAATCACAATAAAAAACAATCAAACAAGATTAATAATAAAAACAACAATATAAACATAAACAAACAACAAAAACCACAAAACCTCTACATAGCAAGTATTAATGTAAGGACCTTATTATCAAACAGCAAAATAGAGGAATTAAGATACGCTGTTATGTCAATAAAATGGGATATTATAGGTTTATGTGAAACAAGAAGAGAAAAAGAAGCAATAGAAGAACACACCGATTTTATCTTATTTCATACATCTGGGACGAATGGAAGAAATGGTGTGGGATTCTTGATTAAAAAACATTTAAAGAATAATATAGTGAATTTAAAAAGTTTCTCGGATCGGGTAGCTTTACTAGAAATACAAACATCTGATAACTCAACTTGGTCACTTGTCCAATCATACGACCCAACAGAACAATGCAATAAAGAAGATATAGATCATTTTTATACAACAGTGCAATCCGCCTTGGATACTATCCACACAAAAAATATAATTTTACTTGGAGATTTCAACGCAAGAATTGGGAAAGCTCAAAAAAATGAAGGAAAGAATATTGGACAATATGCGTACGGAAAAAGAAGCCCACACGGCCAGAAACTAGTAGAATTTGCAGTCGAAAATGATTACTACTTCATGAACAGCATGTTTCCATGCAAACCACACAAAAAACGGACATGGCGATCCCCAAATAGTCAACATCTCAACGAAATTGACTACATACTAACAAATCAACCAACCAATATAAAGAATTTCGATATAATAAAAATCTTAAACTTCAATTCTGATCTAGTGAATTCTGTTCGAAGTCTGATTAGATGTGAATTATCCTTGCTCCCAAAATCAAAAAGAAGGAAAATAAATTCTGTCGTTTACATTAAAGAATCACTAGATATTTCAGAAGAAAACGCTAGCTTCTGGAGAAATAAATTTACAGAAGCTGTTCGTACACAGGCAGAGGTACAAAACCAATATAACAAGCTAGAACAAGAGTTACAAGAGTTTCTGAAACAGCTGCCACGGAAAAAGAAACATGTAAACAGATATATAAATGAAGAAACAAAAGATCTCTTAGAACAGAGAAAAGGGTTATACATGAAGAAAAGAACAAAAGAATTAAAATGTGAAATAACAAGAATAAGCAAAAAAATTAACAGAAATATTACCCAACAAAAAAGAAGAATACGACAAAGAACATTTGAAAAATTCATAGGTAAAACAGGGGCTCTACGTAAAGCTTATAAAGAATTGAGCGACAAGGCAGAGTGGACAGAAAAACTGAGAAACAAACAGGGAATTGTGCAATCAAGACGTCCTGATATCATAAACGAAGCCACACAATTCTATAAAAAGCTTTATACTACCACAGATGGCAGTTGCTCCCTCTTATGTGAAAAACCAGGCGAATATAATAGAGTGAATGCAAACATAGAAATACCAATCATTCTCAGATCAGAAATCGAACACGCAATAAAATCTCAAAAAGACGACAAGTCCCCAGGAAGTGACAACATTGCTAACGAAGTTCTTAAAGCGCTAACCGCTACACTTTTGGAACCTCTTCAAACATTGTTCAATAACATACTCAGAACCGAAACCACACCTGATCAATGGTCAAAATCTACAATCATACTGCTTTTCAAAAAAGGAGATAGAAGAGATCTAGGGAACTATAGACCAATCAGTCTCATGTCAAATTTATATAAAATTTTTTCAAAGATCATATTGAATAGGATAACAAAGAGTCTAGATGAAAACCAACCGCGGGAACAAGCAGGTTTCCGCAAAAGCTACTCGACTGTAGATCACATACAAGTTATAACACAATTAATTGAAAAAGCAAAAGAATATGGGAAGACGTTATATATGTGTTTTATAGACTACACAAAAGCATTCGATTCTTTACACTTCAAAGCTATATGGACATCACTTACACAACAAGGAGTCAATCAGAAATATATTAACATAATCAAGAGTATATATACAAAATGTCTAGCAAAAGTGCGCCTAGAACGTGAAGGTACAGAATTCCCTATACAAAAAGGAGTAAGGCAGGGAGACCCTCTCTCCCCGAAGTTGTTTTCAGCGGTGCTCGAATCTATTT